TCTAAAATGTCATTTTTTCCCCTCTAGTGATCAAGTTTTAAGAAGGCAAACCTAAAACATAGTGACAGAATAAAAATATAACAAGTTCACATATGTTATTACTTCAACATGAAATATGTAAAAGTGGCACATACTTTGAATTTTTAGAATTTTTTTAGTTGTAGTTGGACACAATGCCTTTATTTTTATTTATTCATTTTTCTGTGATGCTGAGGCTCAAACCTAGTGCCTCACATATGCTAGGTGAGTGCTCTACTGCTGAGCTACAACCCCAGCCCACATACTTTGAATTTTATATTAGTTTGAACTATTTAATTTTTGTGTTATAAATGTTCATAATAAAATACAGAACTAACTAAGAGTGTCAGTTACCAGTAATTAACTGTATGAATAATTAAACAAGTAGGTGTTTGAGAAAATATAACCATATCCTAAGGTTTTACATTAGTTTAATCTTTTTTTTGGGGGGGCGGGGGGTTACTGGGGATTGAATCCAGGTGTGCTTAATCACTGAGCCACATCCCCAGCCCTTTTTTGTATTTTATTTAGAGGTAGGGTCTCACAGAGTTACTTAGGGCTTCACTAAGTTGCTGAGGCTGGCTTTGAACTTGAAATCCTCTTGCCTCAGCCCCTCAAGACACTGGGATTACAGGCATGTGCTACCATGCCAGGCTTAGTTTTATCTTTATACAGAAATTGAAAAGAAAGTGCAGAGATTTCCCAGGTAGCCTCAGCCTGGTTTCTTCCCTTATTATGACTTAGGTGAGCTGTTTCTAAAGTGTTAACATCTTAGACCATTCATCATGAATAAGAAATACTGGTATGTTAAAATTAACTGAAGTCACATATCTTTTGGATTCTTGGTACTGTGTCTTCCTGTTCTAGGATTCCATCTAGGATCCAACATGACATCCAGTCATCATGTCTCCATGAACTTCTCTTGGGGTGACAGTTTCTATGAACTCCCTTGTTCTGATGACCTTGACAGTATTGAGGAGGACTTGTCAGGTATTTTTTAGATTGTTCTCCATTGAATTTTCCAAGAAGAAAATTTTAAAAGCCACAAGAAAAAAGCAGCAGATCACATATAGGGGTATACCAATTAGTTTAAAGGCTGATCTTTCAACACAGTCCCTGAAAGCTAGAAGATCCTGGAACAATATATTTCCAATGCTAAAATATACTATATTCTAACCAAGACTCTTGTAAAAGGTGAAAGATTTATACGATCTGAAGAGGAAACCAGAGTATAACCAAGACTCTTGTATGCAGCAAGACTAAGTGTCAGGTTGACGATGAAATAAAATTCTTCCATGATAAACAAAAGTTAAGAGAATCTGCAGGTACAAAACCAGCGGTCAACATATCCTTGGAAAAATATATCATTAAGAGGAAATGGAAAAGAACAATGAAAACCAACAGTGGAATGGAGTACACTATGGGAAAAAAAACTAATCAAAGAGGAAAATCAAGTCAAGTTAAATAACAAAGATAAACAAATATGGCTGGAAATACAAACCATATCTCAATAGTAACCCTAAATGTTAATGGCATAAACTCACCATTCAAAAGATACAGGCTAGTAGACTAGATTATTTTTAAAAAGATCCTACAATATGCTGTGTACAACAAAATCATTTGATAGGAAAAGAGATACATAGACTGAAGGTAAAAGGTTGGGAAAAATCATACACTCCCACGGACCTCAGAAGCAAGCAGGGGTGTCCTTACTCATATCAAATAAAGTAGACTTCTAGCCAAAGTTTATCAAAAGGGATAAGGAAGGACCCTACATATTGATCAAGGTAACCATACAGCAACAAGACATAACAATCTTTAATATATATGCCCCAAACCATGGTGCAGCTATGTTCATATAAAAAAGTCTTCTCAAGTTCAAGAGTCAAATAGACCAAAGCATAATAATCATGGGTGATTTTAGCACACCTCTCTCACCACTGGGAAGACCGTCCAATCAAATTTGAATAATGAAACCATAGAACTCAAAACCACAAGTAATAAGTTAGACTTAGTTGACATATATAAAATATCAACCAATATCAAGCAGCACAATATCTCAGCAGCACATGGATCCTTCTCAAAAATAGACGCTATATTATGCCCAGGGCAACTCTTAACAAATACAAAGGAGTAGAGTTACTACCATGCATTTTATCCCATTGTAATGGAATAAAATTGGAAATCAAGGATAAAATAAGGAAGAAAAATTACTTCTTCACATGGAGAATGAACAATATGCTACTAAATGAACAATGGGTTACAGAAGATATCAAGGAGGAAATTAAAAAATTCTTAGAGGTAAATGAGAACACAGACACCACATATCAAAATCCCTAGGACATTATAAAAGCAGTACTAAGAAGACAATTCATTGCTTGGAGTTTATTTCTTGAAAGAAGAAAGAGCCAAGAAGTTAATGACCTCACACTACACTTCAAAGCACTAGAAAAAGAAGAACAAACCATCAGCAAAAGCAGTGGAAGGCATGCAATAATAAAAAATCAGAGCTGAAATCAGTGAAATAAAAACAAAAGAAACATTTGGAAAAATTGACAAAACTCAGAGTTGGTTCTTTGAAAAAATACATAAGAATCACAGACCCTTAGTCATGCTAACAAAGAGAAGAAGAGCGAGAACCCAAATTACTAGCATATATTTTGAAAAAATAAATATCAAAACAGACACTACAGAAAAACAGAAGATAATTAGAAATTATTTTGAAACCATAACTCTAATAAAATAGGTGATAGTGAAGGCATCAGTAATTTCCTAAAGTCATATGACCTGCCCAGATTGAGCCAGGAAGATATACATTTGCTGCAGTCCAGCTGGGCAAATAACTGGGAGGTGACAAGCAACTTGAAGGTTGAAGCGGGAACTACTTTATTGCAAGTGAACTCAGCCGAACTGAGCGAGAACTCAAAGTAGCGGGCTCCTAAGGTAGCTGAACCGCTTCTATGCAGGACAACAGAGGTATATATACCTACCTAATTACACACAGCTTGACTCAATTAACATCATCTAGATACAGCAGTCAGCCAATAAGGAATCCTCATCATCTTAATGGCTCGCTGGCATTGCTTAACAAACCACTCCTCCTGGCAAACTGCCAGGCGCCATCTTGACTTGATTTGCATCCCCAACATACATCACTTAAAGAGACCAATATCAAGTGAGGACTTAGAAGAAGTCATCCAAAGATCAGCAACCAAGAAAAGCCCAGGACCAGATGGATATAGAGCCAAGTTTTAAAAGACTTCTCAGGAAGAACTAATACCAATACTCTTCAATCTATTTCAGGAAACAGAAAAAGAAGGAGTACTTCCAACTTCATTCTATGAGGCCAATATCACCCTGATTCCCAAACCAGAGAAAGAAACCTCAAAGAAAGAAAACCTCAGACCAGTATCTCTAATGAATATATATGCAAAAATCCTCAATTAAATTCTGGCAAATTGAATACAAAAACATATAAAAAATATCATGCACCATGATCAGGTGTGATTCATCCCAGGTATGCAAGGTTTGTTCAACATATGGAAATCAATCAATATAATTCATCACATCAATAGACTTCAAGATAAGAACCATGTGACCATCTCAATAGATGCAGAAAAAGCATTTGACAAAATACAGCACTGCTTTATGTTCAAAACACTGGAAAATCTAGGGATAACAGGAACTCATGTCAACATCATAAAGGCTATCTCTGCGAAGCCTCAGGCCAACATTATTCTAAATACAGAAAAAAGGAACGCATTCCATCTAAAAATTGCAACAAGACAGGAATGCCCTGTTTCTCCACTTCTATTAAACATAGTTTTTGAAACACTGGCCAGAACAATTAGAGAGACAAAGTAAATCAAAGGGATGTGTATAGGAAAAGAAGAACGTAAATTAGTACTATTTGCTGATCATATGATTCTATATCTAGAAGAACCAAAAAGTCCACCAGAAAAACTTCTAAAACTAGTAAATGAGTTCAGCAAAGTAGCAGGATATAAAATCAACACCAATATATAAAAGGAATTTCTGCATATAAGCCTCTGAGACCGAAATGTGGAAAACTGCCCCATTCACAATAACCTGAAAAAAATAAGACACTTGGAAATGAATTTAACAAAAGAGGTGACAGATCTATAAAACAAAAACTACAAAATCCTAATAAGAGTCATAGAAGAAGACCTTAGAAGGTAGAAATGTCTACCTTGCTCTTTGCAAGGCAGAATTAATTTTATCAAATTGGCCATACTACCAAAAACACTAAAAAGATTTAATGCAGTTAAGATCAAAATCAATGATGATCAATGGTATTCCTCTTAGATAAGAAAGTGAAAACCAGATGAGATTTTCAGGGAGAGAACTAAGATGGCCGAATAGAGGAGATACTGTGTCTGGGGGCTCTGGACATGGACCCGAGAAAACAGTCAAAATGCTTCTCCACCAGGTCCTGCCATGATGGAAAAACTACAGTTCAGAGCATGTGACAGGACACCATACAGTGAACCTTTCACAGATTCTACCAGAGTGGGAAGCACAACGCAGAACCCAGAGGCTTTGCTTGCCAGTAAGATTCCAGACACCAGCCCCAAACCCGCAATCTGAACAGACGCGTGGACTACAATCTGCAGATCAGAAGTATAAAATCAGCAACTCTACACAACTCTAGATCACCAGATTAAGCTCACTCCCAAGCAAGTCACCAGACTGAGTTCTGACCACAGCACAAGTTCATCCCAGCACCCCCACCTCACCAAACACCCAATGCCAGAAACAGATGGAATCCACCTTGGAAAACCTTTCTTGCCATCTCTTGGTGTGTGTGGTTACCAATGTGGTTCTGCTGCTGACCAGGTAACTGGTTCCAAACTCCCCCAGCCCCAGTTGTGATAACTCAAAACTTTCTCACAATATTTTTTGGGGGGGCATGGCTATCAAGGCAGAACTAAAACTGTACAGGCACTTGGTTTCCAACTCACAGAGTGCAGGGAGGCTCCAGGCAGAAGCTCAAACCCTCAAACTCCTTACCGCCACCACCCCGAGGACAGTGACTCAAGCTTGGAATAGACAATGACACCTACTGGAAGAAAAGAAAACAGAATTGTAGTAGATTTTTTTTCTCTTATCATCCATTCTCCTCTACCCTTCCCACTCTGGTCTTCACAACACAAACATATGTGAAACCAAAAACTTTGCATGAGATAGGACTTTAAGAACTGAATCACCATAATAATAATATAACCCCCTCTATTTTTCTTAATTTCTCTCTCCCTTTTTTTCTTTTTCTTTCTTTCCTTTTAATTTTTCTTCCTCCCTCTCTCCCACTTTCAACTTCCTAACTTTTACTATTTTTACTTTAGTTAATTTACTAAATACATACAGGTGTTTGATTTTATGCATTCTTTCCTAAACTACCTCCGGTCTATTCATTAGAGTTCTCCTCCAAAGGGGCTAAGATAGATTATCCCCATACCCTCACACCTTTCCCCCTTAACGTAACATCCTAAGAAGCTTGGTTTCCTGAGAATGTAGAAATGGATCCATGGTGTATATTTATATCAAAACATACCCCTACATAGAACAAATGTGTGCATATAATTTTCAGTATACCCCAATAAAGACATTAGAATATTTCAGCTATTTAAACAATCTTTCACTTAGTGGACAACTACTACATTACAAATGTAAGAGCTACCCTTTAACATTTCCTCACATTGCCAGCATGCCACACTAGATTTAACTAAATAGAAAGGAGAAAAACACTGTTTAAATAAATTGGACACTCCAAACCCTGTTTATGAGAAAGCAATGGCCACACTGGGCATCTCAGCTAGGAACCTGAGCTCTATGCAGAACTATGAACACCATCTTCACCACTACTTAAAAACCTGTTTTCTTGTGACAGCAATTGTGGTGAGCAATAAACTGGTAGCATGTCCTATTATTCATTTTCTTATTACTTTTTAGCAGAAAGCCTATTTAGTGTCCTCCATGTGATGAGATTGTGGAACTGTCATTTTTGTAGGCCTTGGTTTTATTTGGAGGGGATGGGGGTATAGAGCTAATATAATGCTCTTTGGAGCTGACAGGGGAAGGAATGTTAAGAGTTTCTCTACTCCATGTTTTCAGGGATGTGCTGTAGGTAGAACCATCAAATTCCTGGGTGCCATGGTGAATTTTAGTTGATAATCTACTTTGCTAAATTTTAGAAGATGCAGGAAATGAAGGGGATAATGAGAGGTGGTAGGGTCCAGGTTGACTGAGTAGCAGATGAGGTAGTGGGTAGGGTTGGCTGTACATTTCAGCTTATTGAAATCAGCATGTGTGGGGTCCTGAGAGACTGGCACAGTATCACTCTGAAAATATGTGTTTTGCTAGTTTGGGGAAATGGGAAACGAGATTATATATAGCACAAGGAAAGTATACATGCGAGGGTTCTCAGAACAGGAAACACAAGATCTTTGTGTAGGGAGCGTAAGCAGAAGGGATTGACCTATGCTCCTGTGTGTAGGAGAGACTTTTCTGTATAGGAGCCAATCACCTAAAATTGCCAACCTCTGTAGTTGTACTTTTCCCTATTGCCCTCTCTTGACTCCATCTGCAAACTCATACATTCTCTGGTTTGAACTATGGATGTCAGTGCACATTCTTCCCTACACACACCTCCGTTTTTTGAATCTCCCATCATCCTTGAATTGCAGTCTGCCCTGGGATAGAAGGGTGCTATCCCTCTAGATTAGCTCACTGCAAACTCTCCCACACAGTAGTCTCTGCCCATCCTCCAGCCATTATCAGTAGCATTTTAGCAGACAGAAAATACCTGTAAAGGCTCAGTGCTTTCACTAGACAATACTTGCATGTTCAAAGTTAGTCATATTATCAATGCAAGAAAAAAACTCAACCACCAAAATCTACTTCTGTCAAATTTTATTATCTTTGAATGTGATGTTTTAATTTCCTTTTATAATGAATTATTAAATTTTTAAGAAAATCTTTATGTATGAATAAGATGTTGGGGATTACTTAAATTAGGACACCACTTAATGACCTAATAACCATTTTCTGCTTTTTTTGTATGTATGTATTTCTTTTTATTTTTTAATTAATTTGTTATATATAACAACAGAATGCCTTAAAATTCATATTACACATATAGAGCACAATTTTTTATATCTCTGGTTGTACGCAAAGTAACGTCACATCCTTTGTGGCTTCATGCATGTACCTAGGGTAATGAAAACCATCACATTCCACTGTCTTTCTTACTCCTATGCCCCCTTCCTTCCCCTCCATCCCCTTTTTCCTTTTGTCTTATCTGGAGTTTATTTAATCCTCCCATCCTGCCCGCTCCCACATCATGTTATGAATTAGCATCCTTAAATCAGAAAAAATCATTTTGCATTTGTTTCTTAGGAATTGGCAAATTTCACTTAGCATTATATTCATCAGCTCCATCAATTTACCTGCAATTGTCATAATTTTATTCTCTTTTAATGCTAAATAGTATTCCATTGTGTATATATACCACATTTTCTTTATCCATTCATCTAATGAATGGAATCTAGGTTGATTCCACAGTTTAGCTATTGTTTATTGTGCTATTGTAAACATTGATGTGGCTGTGTCCATGTAGTATTCTGTTAATAAGTCCTTTGGGTACAGAACGAGAAGTGGGATAGCTGGGTCAAATGGTGGTTCCATTCAACATTTTCCAAGGAATCTCCATACTGCTTTCCAGATTAGCTGCACCAATTTGAAGTCCTACCAGCATTGTACGAGTATGTACATATTACCCACATCCTCACCAACAATTATTGTAGTTTATATTCTTAAATGAATAGAGGAAGATGAAATCAGAATAGTTTTAGTTAGCATTTCTCTAATTGCTAGGAATGTTGAACAATTTTTCATGTATGTGTTTATAGATTGTATATCATCTTCTGAGAAGTGTCTGTTCAATATCTTGGCTCATTTATTGATTGGGTTATTTTTGTTGTTGTTGTTGTTGTTGTTTGTTTTGTTTTAAGATTTTTGAGTTCTTTATATATTCCAGAGATTAGTTCTATATCTGATGTGTGTGTGGTAAGAATTTGTTCTCAATTAGTAGGCTCTATATTCACTCCACTGATTGTTTCTTTTGCTGAGAAGAACAGTTTTAGTTTGAATCCATCCTATAAATTGATGCTTAATATTAATTATTGTGCTATGGAGTCTTATTAAAAAAGTTGTGGAATAATCAGATATGATGGAGATTTGGGCCTACTTTTTCTTCTAACAGACATTGTATCTCTGGTATAATTTCTAGGTCCTTAATTCAATTTGAGTTGAGTTGGTGCATGGTGAGAAGTAGGGGTTTGATTTCATTTTATTGCATATAAATTTCCAATTTTTCAGCATCATTTGTTGAAGAGGCTATCTTTTCTCCAATGTATATTTTTGATGCCTTTGTCAAATATAAGATAACTGTAATTATGGGAGTTAGTCTCTGTGTTATCTATTCTGTACCATTGGTATACTTTGTGCCAACCCCATACTGTTTTTGTTATTATTGATATGTAGCATAGTTTAAGGTCTGGTACCGTGATGCCATCTGCTTCATTCTTCTTGCTAAGGATTGCTTTAGCTATCCTGTGTCTCTTATTTTGCTAGATAAATTTCATGACTGCTTTTTCTATTTCTATGAGGAATGTCATTTGAATTTTGGTTGAAATTGCATTAAATCTGTATAATGCTTTTGGTAGTATGGTCATTTTGACAGCATTAATTCTGTCTATCCAAAAAAAAAAAAATGTAGATCTTTCCATCTTCCCATGTTTTCTTTTTTTTTCTTAAGATTCTTTAGTTTTAATTGTAGATGTCTTTCACCTCTTTTGTTAAATTTATTCCCAAGTATTTATTATTATTTTTGATACTATTCTAAATGGAGTAGTTTTTCTCATTTTCCTTTCATCGGATTTGTTAGTAATATACAGAAATGCCTTTGATTTATGAGTGTTGATTTTGTATCCTGATACTTTTGTGACTTTATTTACTAGTTCTAGCAGTTTTCTGATGGAATTTGTTTGGTCTTCTAGGTATAGAATTGTATTGTCAGAAAATAGTGCTAATGAGTTCTTCTTTACCTACCCATATCCATTTAGTTTCTTTCATCTGTTTAATTGCTCTGGCTAGTATTTCAAGAACTATATTAAATAGAAGTGGTAAAAGAGGGCATCCTGTCTTTTTCCAGTTTTCAGAGGAAATGCTTCCATTTTATGCTTTTATGTCCTAGAATGATGCTACCTAACGTTGTGGCCATTGGCCATCTAATCCATCAAAGTGACAAACTCAGTTCTTTTGTCATAGGATCTATATGCCAAAATATCATTTTGCTTGAGGCTACTGGATTAGACAGGAAAGACACAGGACATTTCCATAATAGCAAAAAATATTGAATGGTGATGTTCTATAAATTACCAGGTGTAAATATTATGGACAATATGACCTATTTAGAGTTCAAATCTAGTACCTTGCCACAAATTCATGGTGGTAACTGTGTTCTGATATAATTTTTTTTTTTTTGCCAAAAGGAATGAATGAATGAATGAATAAATAAATAAATAGAGTGATGTGGATACAGCCATCAGGTGTTACTTTTAAGAATTCTATTCCAGAGAATCTATCAGGTTGTACCTGAATTCTTCCAGTCACAGGATTTCAAGCACCTCCCTGGGAGACCCCCTCCCAATCTGGTAAGTGCCAATAACTCATTAAGGTGTCCATCAGAATGCCTCTTACCTTCTAGGCTAATGAGGTACTGGCCAGGCAGATGACCACTGCCACTCCAGATAAATCCTGTGAATGGGCATTCATAGCCATTCTATGAGCCTAAACCTGCTGGCATTGGGACCACACTTAGAGAACCTCTGCTCCAGCAGACTCCAATATTTAGGAGATTGGGCTGGTTTTAGAACAGGTAGTAGAAGAACATGACTCACAAAACAACTGTTTTACAAGTAGTGGATGCTGTTGAAATGAGACACATACCACTACCACCAACAACAATAACATAAAGCCCTCGAATTGGTTATTGCAAAAATAATGGGG